ATTGGCACTCACACAAACCCTCCAGTGGGAGAACCATTACTACAACCCAAACAAACAAATTTTATGAAAACTAAGGCATTTAAAGATACAAAAGCATGTTTAAATGACAATAAAAATGGAGTTCCTATAAACTCCAAAGGTTTAAACAATTAACTAACCAAACTAATGCGGAATTTCAACCCCTAGAACATGAAAGTCATTGCATCAAAATTCTACTAACGACAAGTCTAAGAACAAGGGGTACAACCCCAAAACTAAACAAACACCTTTAACAAATAGTCTGAGTCCGAAGAGATTGGACTTAAACAAGAAAGATCTATCGCAGCCTGAAAGAACTGACTCACCTTTGAATCTGGTCACGCTCAATAGTCACCTAGTTGAGGTCTATCAATAACCGCCTGAAGATGACATGTACTCAACAAAGAACAAGCAAGTGCATTATCAGGACACAACCACATTGTACTGGTAGGATCACGCGGCTATCCCAATAAGCGAAACACATGCAAGTAACCACAACATTATAAAACATGCATATACCAAACACATACAATATTAGTAATCTTTTCAGGATCAATGTAGCATCATATGTTCTCAATAATACACATTGATTATCAATTTAGAGCAACATGCATACAGTCTTCCAATGTCAATCATCATTAAATATGAACGTAATCATCACAAGTAGATATACAACACAATTCAATGGTCCTCTCACGGAACCTAATTCAATGGTCCTCTTATGGAACTCACACCCAAACTGTTATCATACCAGAATGTGGTACCAGATTCAATGTTTATGCCGGAACGTGGCAACTGATCCTATGTTTATGTCGGAACGTGGCAACCGATCCCATGTTTATGTCGGAACGTGGCAACCGATCCAAGTTAGTGTGTCGAAACGCAACACCCGATCCATTCAACAAACCACAATCACAATCACAATCACAATGTATATTCTCACAATCATACAACAAGAGTTGATTCATAGCATACAATTATTCAATTATCCTCATTTATGATTAGGGTGATCAATAATGCAACATTCGCATACATACATGCATTATAATGAGCAATTACAAACATATATCACACTAACATGAAATCACAACCATCACCTACCTCGAATCCAAGCTTGAATCCCCTAAGACACTTGAATCTTCCTTTTTTGGATTCTTTCCGCTTGTTCTAGGTCTACAAACAATTAATACACGCAAGGATCAACAATCAAATGTCTAATTACCGGGATTATAATCAACATTATCAACTCTGGCCAAATCCAAGATCTTAATACCCAGATTAGGGCTTCTTCCACCATAAATCGCAGATCAAAACCCTCATCCATCGATAATTATCCACGAATTTACATTATACGGATCGAAAAATGGATTCGAGGAGTTAAAACCTTCCTTTTAGCCTCAAGAATGGTGGAAAACTGTCAAGAAAGCACTTGGGGTAGTTCCTTAGCTCTCAAAGTCAAAAAGTGCAGAATAAAATATTTTTGGGGTTTTATTTCCAACTTAAGTCGTGTCTGTCCCGCTACGACGGGACCCAACCCCCCGGCGGCACTATCCCACTTTGGCGGCTTGCACAAAAACATTGAGCAAATTTAAGAATTCCAAACTCCCATTTCACAACACACCTTCATCCCATGACACTCAGAAAATACCCGATCACGCTAAGATCAGTTTCGGGAGTTCTACTCACCCAAATTCAATTTCGTTAAGTCGTACAGGTTCCTTAAAGTCTTAGTTATCTACTCATATGATCAAAATCATAATTAGATCACCCAATTGTTATCAGATTTCTCTAAACTCGCCTGACTCTGATTTCGTCCAAATCTGGACTAGGCTAGGAAATTCCAAGTTACTACTCAAAAGTTTTTTGGCCCCAATTCTTTCCCCATTGGCTTTTTCCTAACGACGGAATCAGGTCGTTACACTAACATAGCTACAGTTTGCATTAATTACAATTCGAAACTTACTTCTAACTATAATTACATTCTCTCTCTTCCTCTCTTTCTCGCATCTCTCTCCCTCTCTCTGGAATCTCGCTTGCCACTCTCTCCCTATAACATGTAGCTGTAAATTGTAATTAGCAAACTATAGTTATGACGCATAATTAAGCTATTTTTTAATAGCAATATCGAAAGTTTCCCCAATAAAAATTAGTAGAGTTATTTTATCTAGTACTATTAAATTAAAAAATAAATATGGTCAATGTGAAGTTATAAATCGTTTGACATGTAAGATAAGTGGTACTCTTGTCCTTTTTTAGTTGTTAGAGTTTTCTTTTTTAGAGTCAAATGATATAATTTTTACTAACATTAGATGTATTTATTCATCATATTGATATGAAAAATGTTAGTCCAATTTATAGTATTTTTGTATAGCTTTTGAATATTTAAAATTTTATTTTAAAATATCAAATTAATGTAATCTAATTTAATTTTGAAAATAAGTCAAATTGACTTTCGAAAAACACAACATAACGACTAAAAAAAGACGAAGGGATGATTTATTTTATGAAAAAAAATATGAAACTAATCAAAATTAACAACTTATTTATGAAAAAATAGTTATAATTTTAAAATATTATAAAAAGAACAATATGTTGTTTTTATAGCAAACCCTTCTCAACTCCCCCCCCCTCCTTCTATGTGGGTACGCTTCCTCTCTTTCCCTTGCCTTTCCTCCCTCTCTCTTTCTCTCTCTCCGTGTCTTCTCTCTCGTGCCAATAAGAAGAAATTTATTTAAATGTATAATGTATCAATTGTATTCAATCAAATATATGTGATAAATTTATATTTTATCTTAATTGTATTCGAAAAGTCATATTTTTTGTATCAATTATATTTATATCCATACGAATACAATATGCAATTATCCTTTCTGTCAAATATATTTGTATCCAATCAAAGAAATGATGTTTGTATCCGATCAATTATATTTGTATCTGTACGAATACAATATTACAAATTCTTTTTTCTTTAATATGTTTGTATTGTTGTTTTCTAAAATCGTCGATTTGGTGGGATCCTATCCATGAGCGCAAACTGTGAACAAAGTCTTGTTTTTCTTTTTTGTGAGATTGTTACGGTGCTATTGCATAAGTTTTTAAATTTAAACATACAATAAATTGTTTTACTTTAGTAATAACTTATTTAAATTTACTTCTATTTAAAATTCGTGTATATTTTCATATGACAATGACAATATATATAATACTAACGAATATCTTATTTTGATAATAATTTAATACGTTTATAAATAAAAAATCGAACTAGATAAAGCCGATAAGGAAAGAAAAGAAACCGTCACGGTTCACACTTTACACGGTGCTGCACCAAGACCTCATGAACGGTACGGTGTACCATAGCCCGCGGATTTCTTGCTCTCATGTGTTTCCTCTTACGGGTCCACCAGTGGGTAAACTAACGCATTCTGTCTGGTTATTATTATAAGTACAAGCTTTAGCTCTCTCCAAATTTCTCCATTAAAGCAAACAAAGCCATAGTGTTTCTCACTAATTTTCAATTACTTTTCTCCGTTTAATAATACCGGTTATCTGAAGAACTCCGGAGTTTTTTTCCGGCGGTGAAGTGGTTACTTTTTCCTTTTGTTTCTCGTGAAAATCTCTCAACTTCCGATACTTTCAAGGTTCGGTTCTCAAACCTCCTTTTCCGTCTAGAATGTACTGTAAACGACGTTTTACACTTTCTCTTTTTCAATTTATGTTGTTCAAGTTTCGGTTTTCTACGAGAAATTGATGAAATTTCAGTTTCATTGCCTTTTTTGTATGCTAATACCTGTGAAAAATCCATGTTGAGTTTATTCTGCGATGACCTTTTGATGTACTTAGTTTTGATGTTGTTAAGCTTTTAATTCCACTACATTCTGGCTATTTTCTATAGTTTTGATGTTGTTAAGCTTTTTATTCCACTGAATTCTGGCTACTTTCTATAGTTTTGATGTTGTTAAGCTTTTTATTCCACTATATTCTGGCTATTTTGTGTAGTTTTGATGTTGTGAAGCTTTTTATTCCACTGAATTATGGCTAAATCCTGTAGTTTTGATGTTTTTAAGCGCTTTAGTCCACTAAATTCTGGCTACTTTCTACAGTTTTGATGTTGTTAAGCTTTTTATTCCACTGAATTCTGGTTATTTTCTATAGTTCTGATGTTGTTAAACTTTTTATTCCACCAAATTCTGGCTACTTCTATAGGTTTGATGTTTTCAAGCTTTTTATTTCACTAAATCTTGGTTATTTTCTATAGTTTTGATGTTGTTAAGCTTTTTATTCCACTGTATTCTGTCTGTTTTCTGTAGTTTTTATGTTGTTAAGCTGTTTATTCCACTGAATTCTGGCGATTTTCTATAGTTTTGATGTTATTAAGCTTTTTATTCCACTAAATCCTGGCTACTTTCTATAGTTTTGATGTTGTTAAGCTTTTTTCTCGGCTAAATTCTGGTCTTCTGTAGTTTTGATGTTGTTAAGCTTTTGTCTCCACTAAAACCTGACAGTTTTCTATTGTTTTGGGAAATTCACCTTGAAATTCAAAGTTTTAAATGTTTTCCTTAGTAGATTTTTTTTAATAAATATTCATATAAATGGCTTAGTATTTCAATTTTTTGCTAATTTGTTTGTTTAATTTCCTGGCAAGTGAAGACTTGTCAAATTAGTTCATGAATTCTTATTCTTAATATCTGTTCAGGTGCTTATTTAAGTTTTGTTTTGTTGATTTAGGATAATGGCTCTCTCTCAAAATCAGGAGTTGGAGTATATGGTGGATGAGTACTATGACACTACTGATTTTGATGACAGCACTTTTGGGGATGATGAATCGCCACGAAGTACTGACCCTGATGTCTCTGCAGACTCTGATTTTGAGGACGATTTTGAAGTGGTACCGGGCAATGTTAATTTTTTTGACATGTTACTGGTGTTATCTTCATCTTTTGTTTAACAATGTTGACTTACTGCTCTTCGATTCTACAGAGAAAGTCAAAGCTGGATACATCAGCTATAGAAGCTAGAAATGGCAAGGATATACAGGGAATACCTTGGGAAAGGCTTAATTTTACCAGAGACAAGTACCGCGAGACGAGGTTGATGCAGTATAAGAACTACGAGAGCCTGTCTCGCTCTCGTGAAGATCTTGAAAAGGTTTTTCTTCCCACTCTTTTCCATTCCCATGTATTGGAGTGTATATGGTATATCTTTCTCGTATATTTGGCTAAGCTCAACTCTAAAAGTTTCTTTCCTCACCATTAAGAAGTGCAAGGAAGTAGGAAAAGGACACAGCTTCTACGACTTCCAGTTCAATACAAGGCTCGTCAAATCAACTATTGTGCACTTTCAGGTAACATAAATTCTTTAGCCTTTTCTTGTTTGGGTTTATGTTAACCTTTGATCAAGAAAATCGTGGACTGGTCTGCCTCCCTGTAGTTCTTTGTGATTGATTTAGTCTCTGTTGTCTCATTTTGCATAATTCAATTAAACCTGGCAAACGACTCCCATGGCTGCCTTTCTCATTCTTGCCTTTCATGTTATTTTTTCCTCATTCATTTTTACCTGGGATTTTTAGTTGTTTGTTATTTTACATCATTATGAGTTAGTTAAACAAAAGTATATTTTTTTTGAAACTGGTATTGTATAATAGGATTTGGTTATTTACAGTCTAATCATTGTGTGAGCTTTTGGTCGATGATCCCCGTCGCCTTTTTCTCGTTTCCATGCAATAACTATACCTCTGCAGGTGCTCTGCTCCTAATGTTCTGGATATTTTGATTTAAACTGTTAGGCTGTTGGTTCACCCTTTCATTAATTCCAGAGGTATGGAGTCTGTATCCTCATCGAACAATTCAGTGAGTTTGATGCTTGATATGGAATTACTTAAACATTGACTATATGTGTCTCTAACGCATTTGTGGACAGCTTTCTGGGATAATATGTCACCAGAGCCAGTATGTTTGAGATGATGCCTCTTATGGCCTCCAAGCTGGTGAATTTGCATCTGCTATAAATTTAGCGTTACCTTACCATTTCTTGATGCAGCTAATTTCTTTTTCTTCTTCTGTTCAGAAAACCAAAAGATTATGCCGAATTTGACTTTTGCCAGTTTCTTTTGTTGCTTCTAGTAATGGTATTCTGGCTACATGTCGAAGCAAACAAGATTTACATACAAAAACCATTCTTTCTTATATTCTGCATTTAGTTTTTAACTCATTTTCTCAGTAAGCAGTTTAGTCTGTGCCTCGATTGATGTATTGATCCGAGAGCAGTGTTCGCAATATCCTTTTTGTGCAGATTACAAACATTTAGAGAAGTGTCTCATGAAACTTTGTAATTGTAGAAGATCCTTGTTTTGGAACTTCACTCTTGAATATTTCATCATGAATCAGCTGAATGTATTTTGAGGACTGGGTTTTGATATGGAAGCTTAGGGGTGAGGACAGAACCTGGCTTATGCTGGATTTGTAGTTTGTAGTTTGTAGTTTGTTGCTGACATAGAATATAGTTCTGACTTCTGAGTCAAAGTTGTTTGTTATGTTCCATTCTACTACTTGTGTGACAGATCTACTTTTGCAGTGTCAAACAGAACAGTTGAGGCTGATGGTTGAAATTTCCGAACTTCCAATTCCATTTGTGTGTCCCTCTAGAGAATAATCTTGATTTTATTTCTATTCATCTGCCGTGGTCCTCCATTTTCAGTTGGTCGTTAACTAGCTCTGTTGCCTCTTCTGCATGGTTCATCCCTTTCTATTCAAGGCCCATTGATCATTGCAAAGCTTTCTAGGCTGTTGCTGTAGAAGATATTGAGTTGATGAGCATATTTTGTTAGTAATTATGTGAAGTGGTTATGTTTTAATTCTTGTTGTAAATGATGTTTGTTTGAATTGTATTCTTTCAAATAATTAACCAATATTGTGTGTGCATTGTTATTGTATCTATCTTTCAGCCTTAGAAGCAGATTGCAGTTATTATGTGAGCAGCTGGCGCAAGCATTTTCCATATGATGGTATGATAGGGAATAATCTGTGAATTTAATAGGCCTTTATGGTCTTTCTTCTGTTCAGTTTGAGCTAACTTGTTAATGACAGCAAGTATGTATTAAAATATTGTGTGTTGCTTCATCATTTGAATAGTTGGATGGTCGTCTCTTCTGTTGAAGATGGTTGTAGTCATTATCTTGTTTATGGTTCTCTCTTCTGTTGAAGATGGTTGTAGTCATCATCTTGTTTATGGTTATCTCTTCTGTTGAAAATGGTTGTAGTCATTATCTTGTTTATGGTTATCTCTTCTGTTGAAGATGGTTGTAGTCATTATCTTGTTTATGGTTATCTCTTCTGTTGAAGATGGTTGTAGTCATTATCTTGTTTATGGTTATCTCTTCTGTTGAAGATGGTTGGCACTTTTTTTCTCTCTGTTTGTTAGAGATGGATTCTGCACTAGGCTCTCTAAGTACTTCCACTGTGTGGGTTGTAAATTCTGATTGCTGTGTCACAGTTACTTCACAATTTTGATCATTATATAATCTCTTTGGTACATCTTGTCTGGTAGCTGTCATCTGTATCTAGTATCTGTCTCCATTAGAAAGAGAAGATTTGCTAATTGCTGGCAACTGAGTTTTTGCATTATACGAGTAAGAGAGTTGGGTTGGGTTACGTGTGTCATTCATTTGAGAGTTCGTGACTTCATTTTTTGAAATTTTCGGCGACTTTATTGTGTGTTCTTTTGTCCTTGATCAATCACATTTCTGAACTTAGGAATTTAATCGCCGACTTACTCTCTTTGCTATGTGGTGTTGTGCCCTTAATCAATCACGTTGGGAATTTGGGTGCTCAATTACTTATCTACTGCTCCCAAGAGTTATCCTCTCTTCCCTATATCCCTTGGTCCATTCCACTCTTTGGAATAGAATGTCGAAGCACCTAACACTTGTATTTGCGATCCATCTATTAAGCTATTGAATCCTGTTGATGTCTTTTGAAATATGTACTGTTCATTATTTTGGTTGTGCTGCCTTGTATTGATTATGTACAATTTCCGAGGTATAGTGTTGCTTGCTCTCCCATTCCTCTTTTTAAGCTTCTGTGTTCTAGATTTTGCTGAGGCATCCCTTTCGAGTCTCGTGGCATTCTTGTTTTTTCTGCGTCATTTTTCCTCCTGTCATCATCGTAGTTGACATTTCTGACTTCTCTTTCACAGGTTTCTTTTCTACTTCGATCTATATAATAGTGTAGGAAAGTGAACTATTTTTTAGCTGCCCAATTTGCTTTCCAGGAGACCTGCTCTATTGCAGATGATGATGTGTAACTATTAGTGGTAGATTGTTCAGTTGTGGACTTGTAGAAAGCTAGCAGCTGTTCCTTCTCTAGCTTATGCATCATTGACCACTAATATTTAGGACTAGCGACATACTGACCTACGACTTAACTTTGTATTAGTATTGCCTGACCTTGCAGAAGGAGAGAGGGGGGCGGTTGATTTTTGTAGTCCATTCTGCATCACACTATGTAGGTTATTTATTCCCAATCTACTGTTTGCTCAGCTTGCAATATGGTTGAGACGGAGAATGAGAACTATCTGAATCCTGAAGTTTATGAGACTGCGGGTGGGTCTATCATTTTTCAAAAAAAAATAAAATTATGAGCTTTTTCTGCAAGTTCCAGCATTCTGAAGTTTTGTTTTTGCTTTATTTGATATTTGTGTTGATGTTGTTGTTTGCTTCATAGGGAACTGGTATGCTGTCTATTGATGAGTGTATCAACCTGCTTATATTTTTGTTTCAGTTGAGGAATCTCTTGTGGTCGACATCAAAACATGATGTGTATCTCATGCAAAACTACTCTGTGATGCACTGGTCCTCACTTCTCGGAAAGGGGGAAGAAGTGCTTAATGTTGCTAGGCCATTGGCGCCCACTATGGTTAGCAGAACCTTTTGTCTCCCTTAAATATACTTAAATGACTTTTGGCAATCAAGAATTAACTCTCTGGTTTGTGCAGAAATACCCTGGATCAGCGTCTCAAGCACTTTCCCGAGTGCAGATCAGCACTATGGTTGTTAGAGATGGTTTGATGGCTGCTGGGGGTTTCCAAGGGGAGCTTATCTGTAAGGTAGGTCTATAGGATGACAATATATATTCTGAGCAGATTTGTACTCTTTCTTAAGTAATGCATACTGATATGATTTTAACTCGTGCAGTATTTAAACCAACCTGGAGTTGTATTCGCTACAAAAATAAGTAACGGAGAGAATGCTATCACTAATGCTGTGGATATTAGTTATAGTCCAACGTAAGTCCCTGAAATTTGTGCCTCTGTAGCTTTTCTTGAATTCAATGTGAACTGTTGTGTACCAGTGCTTATATGGTTCTTTCCAGTGGCTCGATGAGGGTAATCACTGCTAATAATGATCAGCAAGTCAGGATTTTTGATGCAAAAAGCTTCGTTTGCACCAATCATTATGCATTTCCTTGGTCTGTTAACGTGAGTTGTGGATTTAATTTCTACTCTGCAGTTCCATGATTTTTGGTAATACTCGTTGGCTCTCTACTCACAGTTTTCCGTTTCATTGCAGAACACCTCTGTTAGCCCCGATGATAAATTACTTGCTATCCTTGGTGATAGTCCAGAATGTCTACTTGCTGATGCTCAAAGTGGAAAGGTTGGTCTCGTCCATATACCTTTTATTAACTGAGGGGTGTTAACTTTTTGATGATTAGTTGCTCATGTGTTGACCTGTGACTGATGCTTCAGGTTGTCAGCAACCTAAAAGGTCACCTAGACTATTCATTTTCATCAGCTTGGCATCCGGACGGAAGAATTTTGGCAACTGGTAACCAAGACACAACTTGCAGATTATGGGATATAAGGAACACGTCGCAGTCCATAGCAGTGCTGAAAGGAAGGATGGGAGCCATCCGTGCAATCAAGTTCACATCAGATGGGCGCTTCATGGCCATGGCGGAGCCAGCTGATTTTGTCCACATATTCGATACGCAATCTGATTATGGTACCTGTCAAGAGATTGATTTGTTTGGTGAGATTGCTGGGATATCCTTCAGTCCTGATACTGAAGCTCTCTTTATTGGAGTGGCAGACCGAACCTATGGTAGCTTGCTGGAGTTCAACCGTAAACATTACCACCACTACCTTGATTATGTTTTGTAGTGAAAGGCACTTGCCTGTGTCGGTTTTAATATGGGCATCTGCTTGTTTGGTATATAGTTTGTGTATATTAATGCGATCGTCAAAGAGCTGCGATGATGTCTGCGTAGCTGTTTCTGCCGAAGTATATTATATTAGGCTGCAACTATAGGAGTATGTATATCAGAACGAATTATGTGGCCAAAAAATATTTGTTAATGGCCAGTTTTATCACAATTCAATGTGTTTTGCTTCATTTTTTTTGTTTTAATCCGATCAGAAACAGTTCAAGGCTTCAAGCTACAAACTTGCCCTGGTTAACACTGTTGATTAGTTTGTCCCTTTGATATTTTCTCCACTCATGAAACTGAAAGTACTTGGTGAGCTAGGAGACATTTCAATATTCTACAAAGATTTCTACGAAGACTTGGTCAAGTATGGACATTTGAAAAGTTTAGTTTATCGTTCAACTGTGTGCCATTTCTACGAAGACTTGGTCAAGTATGGACATTTGAAAAGTTTAGTTTATCGTTCAACTGTGTGCCATCAAGTGTGACCAAATCCAAATTACTAAAATAAAATATCTGCAAAAAGCAATGGCACTGACAACAACTCGACTTTATCTTAATAAGAAGATTATGTATTAAAACTGATGTAGACTTTTACAAGTATTTTCTACAAAAAAGAATGAAACTCAAGCCGACAAACGAATAGTAGGAGTAACATATGTTTTTGGTTAAAACTTATAACTTGTTTGAATAGATGGTTGGTTGGTGTAGTCCAGATTAGCAGTTATGTACGAATTAACAACTGTCTTAAACTCCCAACGACAAGTTTAACTTTTTCTATAACACCCACCAGGCGCGCAGCTGAAATTCGTTGACAGGGTTTGAAGGGAACTTCCAATTTTTTTTTATCCTTCCCTCGGAATTTCTACGCTTTTTCCTTCCTTGTGACTCAAATATAGGGGTGACAATAGGGCGGGTTGGGTTAAATTTGGACGAGTCAAAATGGATCAACACAATAAACGGGTCAAGATCCATCCCAATTCAAATTAGTTTGGGTCAAAACAGGTTAGGTAACGGGTCATAATCCAATCCGACAATTCTTACTAAGTTTTAATAGCTTTATTTGTTATTTTATAAGTTTTAGTACTTAATAAAAAATTTGTTTTCTTTATTATAACTATATATATAACATATAAAATAAAAAATAAAAATAAAAAACTTTTTGACAAGATTTCTCAAAAATCAATTTGGGTTGCATATCAACCCAATTTTTAAATGGTGTTGAGCTAACAAATGGACGGATCAATAACCAAACCAAACCTAAATGAATTGAATCGAATTAAACGGGCTGGATTTGATTTTGTCAACTCTACTCAAATTGAGTAACTCTCTCTAAGTCATTTTCGATAGGATGATTTGGACAAACTTGTTATTAATACATGTATACAGGTAGTTGATGTGGTTTCTAATCTCTAGTGTATTCGGGATGTAATTAATGATCCTAGTAATGATCATCTCTAGAAGTTTCACAGTTACATCAATAATTTATTCTTGAAAATGTAAAATTTGGACACAAAAGAATTGATTTTTATATCTATACTTATAACTTTGCATTACCCCTACGTACCTAATTCCCAAATAATGGTTTCCCAACATTGCTAAGCTGTTTGGCTAAGTTAATTCAAGGAAACTATTAATATGATGAGATATTGTTTACTTTGACTAGTAGAGTGATTTTATATTTTTCCAAAAGGTCTTATTTTTTAAAACTATCACAACACCTACTCTTGATTTGTTCCATTTTAACTGTCGATTTGATTCAAAAAATTATTTTTGAATATCTTCTTGAATCCTTCATTCACTTATTCAGTATTGACTTTGATTAAGGAGCAATAAGAATGACAATTTTATCATATTACCTTTGAATATAATAAACTCAACGCTTCTGATTATAGTTGATAATATGAGTACATAAGAAATTAAGTGATAATTTTATTTTATTTTTAAATTTGGATAAATAAAAATGAACGGGGAAGTAATTGTATAATCTAGCTAATTAAGTCAAGAGGGAAGATATGAGTCCAAAACAAATTACTTTGGCGGCCAACTTATCCTCTAGGGCAAGGTATCACTCATATTATTTACCCATTTGTTTAACAACTTGACTTGACTTTATTTGCTTAGACGAAATTAATTTCACAAGTTTCGACAACAATTTAAACTTCAACTTGAAGTAATATGGGTGGCATTTTGGTTATAAAACCCACCCACAAAAAAAATAAAAAATAAATGAATTAAACCAAATTTCTTAATTCAACTTCAAATAACTCAAATATTGTCCATATGTATAGTGATCGATTGGCTATCATTTCGACATGATTTATTCAATCGGAGGTTCAGCATGATTTAAATTGGGTTGTCTCCGGAGTTTGGGTTGGATTCAAATTTTTTATTAACGAGTTTAAAAAATAAAAATATAGTTTCTAGGATTTAAACTTGGAACCTCAAGGTAAATTTTGAACAAGATTCCTCTAAATACTGGATCAACTTTTTTCCTTGTGTTCAAAGATTCAAATTCTATATACAGATATACAAAATAATAATTACCTTTATATAAACAATATTAAAGTACAAAAAACCCCAAACAATTTGAGCGCTAATTACATTCTATCCCGAAAGTTCTCCAAATTACAATAATTCCAGATTTTCCAGAACTCGCGGATACATAAGTCCTTCGCCCAATACATAGCAAACGATACATGAGTTATATATCAGATACATACAAACCAGATTCATTTAGGTTTGAAGTAATTGGAATTATGTATCAACAATAACATTTGTACTAAATATACTATACACAAACAAAGTTGTAATGTATCTGATAGAGGTGGAGTGATATATCCATATGTTAAGAGGGAGAAGGAAAAAGAATTATTTTTTAAAATTAATTCAAATGGTAGAAATTTTAGAGATTATATTATCTTAAGTTGCGTAATTGCATAATTTTCCCATTTTTTATTGAAGGGATTTGGGTGAACACCCTCCGACCCCTAGATCCGCCCATGTTTAGAGCCCACTCCTAAATCTCTATCTTTAGCCCAGCCTGGTTGTCCTAAATCTCTATCTTAAGCCCAGCCTGGTTGTCCTAAATCCAATATTCACTTGGGCCAGGAGGATTAGGAGTTTCTTTGAAAAATATAAGTTTGATATATGCTACATCTTTTACTTGTACTAATTTCAATATAAACATTTAAGAAGAATATGAATTTCAATATATCAGACTTGAAATTTTGAAATAATTAAAGGAAAAATTACTTAAATACACAACATTTCTTTACCTATTCTCAATATTTCCCTACTCTTTTACTAAAATACAAAAATCCCTTGTTTTCCCCCAATTCAACTTAACCAGATACTTTATTAGTTTAAATATCCACCCGTTATTAATTAAAGTATCCCGCTTCTATATTATGCATCCGCCCGTTAATCAAGTATCCGTGCTGCTAACAACTTAATAATTTAAGTATCTGCCCGTTATTAATTAAAGTATCCGCGCTGCTATAGTATGCATCCTCCCGTTAATTAAGTATATGTGCTGCTATCAACTTAATAATTTAAGTATCCGTCCGTTATTAATTAAAGTATCTGCGCTGCTATATTAAGTATCCACACTGCTATATTATGTATCCGAAAAACACTAAAAAAAGATATTTTTGGTAATTAATGAAAGAGTAGGGAAAAGAAGTAATTTATTTCTTATACTATGTCATTTGCCTAATTTTTACATAATTAAACAGGCATAAATTCATACCCCTCCCGTAAAATACGATGACTCTATATCATAATAATATTTTTAGTATAATTTTACATATTTAATTAAAAAATTGTTTTTTAGTATCAGTAAAGCAAAAAAAAATGAAAAAGCAAGTGTAAGAAATAGAGCCGTCAATATGGGCTAGGCCTGTTGGGCCAGCCTGGCTTAACTCGGGATTTAATAGGACTGGGCTAAGATTTTTGGAGCCCATTTAAGAAAAGAGTTTTTTAGCCCGGCCTGAATAAGCCTGCTGATTTGTGGGGCTTGAGAAATATCGGTAGGGCCAGCCCGTGGGCCAAATAAAAATAATTAAAAAAATATAATATAATATTAAAATTTAAAATTAAAGAGAATCCAAACTCAAAATCTATTTGATATTTAACTAATTGAAACCGCATATAAATTGCAGATGAAAATGAAGATGTTAAGACAACCTTGCCACAAGCTGATTCAGATATGCTTAATGAAGATGATCATGAAGTGTTGGATACATCATAGATTTCATGATGTGTTAGATACGTCATAAGTTTCATGATTTTTAAGGAGTTTATTTTTAACTTTTTTATGGTTGGAATATTGTCACATTTTTTGTGTTTTAATGTGACAAAACAATTAGGTTAATATTTCTATTTATATATTTATACTTTTATTTGAAAAAACCTTAATAAATATTATAAAGATAATTTTATTTGTAGATTTGATTAACAAGTAGTAACATTAACATGATGTAATATTGTTTTGTCGATATTTATGATAATATTTTTAAATTATAATTTATAATTTATTTTAATAATTATAAAAAACATATAATTTTTAAAAAAGTGGGCTGGCCCGGCAAGCCTGTAGCCCACGTACTTGTGGGTTGGGCCGACCTTTTCTGACCCACACCAAAAATGAGCTAGCCCGGCGTGATACGTAAAATGTCAAAGTCTGTATGAATTAGCCCAGATAGGATGGGCTAACCTATATTGACAGCTCTAGTAAGAAAGTACAAATCATTTCTAAGTCCAGATATATCTTGAAAATGTTAAAAAAAGAAAATTTAAAAAAAAAAAAAAAAAGTAGGGTTCTTCACGTGCTTTGTCGTGCAGGTAAAAGACAAACTATTATTTTCTTGATTTTATTTATTTTGTACTGCAAAATATCTTTGGATTATAATGACCGTAATAGTCGTATTTATACATTAATTATATTTAATTAAGAGGAAAACAAAATGTTAATCACCTCCACCTAACTTCAAAAATCAGGTTTAGGTCGACAATTTTGATTACTGTTTTGCTATTTTAGTGGGCTTTGATGTTTTTTGAGCATGGCTTTAATTGGGCCCAGCCTGCTTTTTCCAAAACAAACAAATGGCCCACCAAATTTTATCAGAATCTTCTTGGAACTCTTTATCTTAATTCTTATGGGAAACG